TTGTAAAATGCTATATATAAAAATGTTATAATATTTAAATATTAGATTTAAAATTGTTATTTGCAAAAAAAGATGGCACATATTTAAAATTGCTATAACTTAAAATGCTATATTGAACCCAACTATATCTCTAAAATGATATGTTTGAAAATGCTATATCTAAAAATGTTGTAATGTAAAAATATTATTATGGTATAAAAATGTTATAACATAAAAATGTTACGATATGAAAACATTGCAATATAAAAATATTACAATATAAGAATGTTGCAATATAAAAATATTACAATATAAAAATATTGCAATATAAAAATATTACAATATTAAAATATTACAATATAAAAATATTGCAATATAAGAATATATTACAATATAAAAATATTACAACATAAAAATATTACAATATAACAACGTGATATCTAACAATGCTATATTTAAAAGTATTTAAAAATCCTACACAAATGCAATGGCGTAGGAGAAACAAGATCTACGAAGGCAGAGAAGTGGTCGAGGCTAGTTTCTGTGTCGGAAAATCTCGCGTCGGAGGTGTAAACGGAAAATGGGGACAAATTGTGTTATGCGGAAGAAATAGACATAGTCTGCAGCTGCGCCGAGCATTTACGGGGGTGAGAATCGTCGAGTGATTTAAATTTACGAATATTGTTGCGAGCATCCATGCATTACTGTATTACATGCCGGCGCATAATCACGCGTGCGGATTCGATGAGCCTTCTCTCTCTCTCTTTTTCTCCCTCTCTCTCTCTCTTTCTCTCTCTCTATCTGGCTCTGGTCCGCTGGAAACATTTGCGTTAAATGCACTTGGTCGAGCTTTCGGTAAATCGCGTTTCGGTTCGTAATGGATATCGCTTTCTCCCTTTCTCTCTCTCTCTCTCTCTCTCTCTCTCTCTCTGTCTCTCTTTTTGCCTCTTTTTGCCAGTTTGCTTCTTTTTATTCCGCATTATTCGAGCCGTCTATTAGTGCGACGGATATTCACTGCCACGTAGCTTTTTTCGATTCTGACGCGCGACGAAAATTAACGTTGCAACATTTACGCACACGCGCCGACGGATCAGTGATTTTTGGGACAGCGTTCTGCCGCTTTTGTTGCGCCCTTATGCCGTTCGACGAAGTCCTCGGAGTTTCTAACGATTGGACAATAGGCGTCGGGTCTGTTTGGACCCGGCGCATTAATATCGTTCGTTTGGTATCCAGTTTCAACGGTATCGCAAAATAAGAACAGGATGAATCGCGGGGAAACGTAGCGAATTGAACGAGCAAAAACGCGGGAAACATTACAAATTTGAACAGCGGGGGTGCGTTCGAGATATTGTCGCGAAATAAATTAAGCGACAACAGCCGCGGGAGAACGTGCCGAATCGAAAGAAAGCGCGGGAATGTACTTCGAATTTGAATGACACAATACGCGCTGCAGGGAAACACGAACAGCGGACTCCGCCGGGATCGATTCAATATCGTTGCAAAATAAACTAATTCCCCCTTCCCCGTCCGATAACCGCGGGAAAATATGTCGAGTTTAAATAGCAGATTCTACGCGGGTCGGTATGCGCGTTCGATGTTAACGGAAAATAAACGAACCGTCGAGAGCACCGCGGGAAAAGCGTTGCGCGCGTACAAAAGCGAAAACGCGGGAAACGATTGAAATTGAAATTCCACGACCGCGGTACGCGGGTGCAGTTAGGGAATTACTTATTTCCACAGGCAATATTAGCAGCGCGGATACACGAGCACGGCTAGTTCAGTGAATAAAACGCGGCCGGAGTGCCGGCGACAGATTTCCCTCTTCGCTGTGGGGTAAGTGCGGGTATTACTGCGGACGTCCCAAATACTGTGGTATTTTATAAAAGCAATAAAATCTGACATTTCATAGCGTGTAATCTTCTAAGAATGAATCTCATGATTTTTTATATGTATAATATCGATAATTTATGACGTGCAAGTAACAACGATCGCAGATTTAATTCATTTATTAATTTTTGATATTTGGAAGATTAGGTATACAGGGTATCCCAAAATTATTGTACAAGCGAGGAATGAGAGGTTCCTGAGGTCATTTCAAGTAACTTTTTCCTTTGCGAAAATGCAGTCCGCGGCTTCGTTTACGAGTTATTAACGAAAAGCGTTGACCTATGAGAGGCGAGATCAGCCGGCGCGAGGCGGTCGCGTCAACGAGCGGAACTGGGCTGCGTGCGCTCGTTGGCTGGGCCGCCTAGCGCCAGCCGAGCTCGCCTCTCATTGGTCACTGTTTTTCGCTAATAACTCGTAAACGAAGCCGCGGATTGCATTTTCGCTAAGGAAAAAGTTACTTCAAATGACCTCAGGAACCATCTATTTCGCGCTTGTACAATAATTTTGGGACACTCTGTACATGCATACGTATGGTTTACTTACGTTACGTTTGTCAATGAAATTTGGGTTTTCAGAGATGCAATATTTTAAAAAAGGTAAATATTCGAGTTAAAAGAATAACAGTTGTAGCTCAAGCTGTCAATTTATTGGCGTAAAAGGTCTTATTTTCTCTGTCAAATTTCGCCTTCATTGAGAAATCGCAGTAATACCTATACTTACCCTGATGCAAATCTGAAAACGTGGAAACTCGTGGTGTGTAATCCGTGTAAATAAAATTTCGCGTATTCATTTATACTCACCGGCAAGGACACCGGCCATGTAAACCGCCGCGATCCTGAGGCTTCCGTGAACCATTTCCAGGGGAAGTCCCACGACCACCTGCACTCCCAGGTTAAACAGCAGGTGAAGCCACCTGAAATGTAAGCATAGGGGATATTCCCCGTGTCAGTACTCCACCGATTCATTCGAACGCGAACGCGACGCGTGCCTGACACCGCGGCTGGCTTGTCTGTTGTATAAATAAAAAAGAAATATAAATATAAATATAAATAATCCGACCAGCTAGTTCGTTAAAATCAGCGATAAAGTGATCCAATTTTCGAACATTTTCTTACGTTTGAATTTGCCGCCACGCCGACGTGACACTAAAACGGAACTTACATTTATTTCTCAAATTATTTTTAAATTTCCAAATATTTCTTGCGCTTAAAAGTTGAACGCTCGGTTCGACGGTTTTGGAAAAATTCCACAAAATGTCGGCGAAGAATTCGGAACGTATCTCGATTCTGCAGACTAGTCCCTTTTGTCAAATTAACAATCTAATATTAATTAATTATCTTATAATTGCACGTGCATCGAGGTACGACAAGTTTTCGTGAAAATTACGATCGTCTCTCGCTTTCGTTGGAATGTTTTGTAACGCGTGCACCGTAAGACGCAGTTTATTGGTGTGCTCCCGGGCAAAATTACATTGTTGCTAAACTTTTGGCAGCGTGTGTACGGACACAGCGGAATAATGGGCCCAGGCGGCGCAGAGATTTCTCTAATTTTCATTATTTCGTAGGACACGGCGAACGGAGTTCCGTGCTAAACCGAATGAAAATTAAAATTATCACCCTCCCCAGTTCTCACATTATTATGATTCCTATAATTATTCATCCTCCATGCGTTCTTTTTTTACCGTTCCCGGGTCCGCGCGTATATCTATACATCGCGGAGTTGCGTGACTGAAAGTTTTCCATTACGTTCCATTCTCAGTCGGTTTATCTGAACCCCCGGATCTAATTACCAACAGAAATTATAATGTTCTTATGATTAGTCAGCGAATCTTTACTGCTGCTAATTATCGTCGTCGTGCATTATACGCCATAGCGTACCGCTGCAGAGCCATTTCTGAGCTGAATTCTTCTTGCGGTCGTCGGAAAAAGAATTGTTCCACGAATTGTGTTTAGCATTCCTTCTTCTCTTGCTTTTCTTTGCTTTTCTTTTTCTCTATAAACGATATCGAAATTTCCTGGCAAACGATTTCACAATCGTTGTCATTTTTTTTTTTTTTAAACGGCGTTGTGCATTTTTATGTTGATTTAATGGCTTCGAATATTTTAATGACATCAGAGATTGTAAAACTTGCTGTCTGATTATAAAACAAGCTTCCATTCGATTCAAAAGTGATCAAAAAAATTGTTCTTAACATGGAATAAATTTTCTTTGAACAAAATTATACTCGAACATATTTCCTTCGAATATATTCTCCGAATATTTTCTTCGAATACATTTTTTGAATATATCCTTTGAATACATTTTTCTGAACTTCGAATAAATTTTTCGAATATTTCCTTCGAATACATTTCTTGAATATATCGTCCGAATTTTTTCGAATATGTCCCTCCGAATAAAATTTTCGAATATTTCCTTCGAATACATTTCTTGAATATATCCTCCGAATTTTTTCGAATATATCCTCTGAATAAAATTTTCGAATATATACCTCCGAATAAAATTTTCGGATATATCCTTCCAATACAGTTTTCGAATATATCCTTCGAATACATTTTTCGAATATATCCTTTGAATACATTTTTCGAACTTCGAATAAATTTTTCGAATATTTCCTTCGAATACATTTCTTGAATATATCGTCCGAATTTTTTCGAATATGTCCCTCCGAATAAAATTTTCGAATATTTCCTTCGAATACATTTCTTAAATTTATCGTCCGAATTTTTTCGAATATGTCCCTCCGAATAAAATTTTCGAATATTTCCTTCGAATACATTTCTTAAATTTATCGTCCGAATTTTTTCGAATATGTCCCTCCGAATAAAATTTTCGAATATTTCCTTCGAATACATTTCTTAAATTTATCGTCCGAATTTTTTCGAATATGTCCCTCCGAATAAAATTTTCGAATATTTCCTTCGAATACATTTCTTAAATTTATCGTCCGAATTTTTTCGAATATGTCCCTCCGAATAAAATTTTCGAATATTTCCTTCGAATACATTTCTTAAATTTATCCTCCGAATTTTTTCGAATATATCCTCTGAATAAAATTTTCGAATATATCCCTCCGAATAAAATTTTCGAATATATCCCTTCGAATAAAATTTTCGAATATATCCTTGAAATACATTTTTCAAATATATCCTTCGAATACATTTTTCGAATATTTTCTTCGAATACATTTTTTAAATATATCCTTTGAATACATTTTTTGAACTTCGAATAAATTTCTCGAATATTTCCTTCGAATATATTTCTTGAATATATCCTCCGAATTTTTTCGAATATATCCTCTGAATAAAATTTTCGAATATGTCCCTCCGAATACAATTTTCGAATATATCCCTCCGAATACAATTTTCGAATATATCCTTCAAATACATTTTTCGAATATTTCCTTCGAATACATTTCTTGAATATATCCTTCGAATTTTTTCGAATATATCCCCTGAATAAAATTTTCGAATATATCCCTCCGAATAAAATTTTCGAATATATCCTCCGAATACTTTCGAATAATATATCGAATAAATTCTACGAATAAAGTGTATTGTTATCCGAATAAAACATGCCGATCTCTGCACTGCGGCCACGTAACAGTTTCGAATTACCTTTTCCCGAACCTGAGCCGCTAATTAATTGCTACTAATCGTCCGTTGGATAAATAATCCACGAAACCCTATTGTTTCATGATTAAATGGAAGACTCGTATTTTCGAGACGCTGCAGGAGCATCGGTTCCGCGCGGAACGGGATCGCGGCTCGGGAAACGCATTCCGCATCGGCGGGAAAGCACAGAGAGCAGAGCGGAAACGCGGAACGATAGAAAAGTGGACGCGTGAAAGGAATCTTAGCACGCGGAGGGTTTCCGCGCCGTCGAGCGCGACAGATAAGCGTGCCGCGCCGCTCCGCGATCATCTTCGTTTCCGCGAGGAAACTTTCCCGGGCCGTTGGCGAGATAAAATTCATAATTGCTTGAATTCCGGCCGGTCGCGATAGCCGAATTTTCGCCGGAGAAACTCGGTGCGGCCACTGGCATCGTTTCTTTCGGCTCGCTACTTTTCCCTTTTATCTTCCGACCGCCGCTGCACGTGATTTGTGCGCCTCGGAGAACCCGAAAAATCTCGCATAAATTATTCAGCTTCGTTTATTTTCTTGGCAAATTAACGTACGATTCGGGCACACTAATACGAAACGATAATAAAGTGGACGGAAGTGAAAAATGAAAATTCCGCTTTTCAATTAATACAGCCGATTAATTTGTCATCGTATGATAGAATACCGTCTGTAAATTTGTAACTTGTAACGTCTGCAATTATGAATATTTATGTATTTATTATTTATATACTTCATTTATAATTACGAAAGTTTATTATGTTGCACTTCGAGGTCAAATCCTCGGATAAACTAGCCCCCCGTTCCGAGGGGTGAAAGAAATTTATCGCAACAAAAATCCCGCCGGAGACTACATATATTGAGAAGTATATTTAACTAGGAATAATTTTTTCACTTTGTAATTTAAATTTTATAATGAATTTCTACCGTTGTTTAATCGTATAAGAAAAATCGCTGCGTAGAACCGCCTCGTAAAAAATGCCTGTCACCGAGATTAATCAGCTGTTTCTCCATGGGAACCTGGTGAAGCGACGACAATGGCCTGCCTAGTGGGCGGTTCGAAGAATCTGCGAAATTGCGCGAAGAGCTCGCGACGAAATCGGGGATTTTGTGATTTTGCGACGGAAATTAGCGAGCGGAATGCGGAACTGAGAATTTGAAGAGGAATTTGATAGTGCCGGATCTTAGTTGTTCATCGAATCGACCAAAAAGTCATTGTTTAGTGAAGTAGAACTTCCGAATAGATGAATATTTTCCTATTTTTGACGATGTAAAACTGCTTTTTATACGATTCTACTCGATTCTAACAATTTTTAATCGAATCGCGTATTCACTGTTCTAAAAGGAAGCTTTTTGCCAAGATTTTTAGAGAATTTCTAACAATTGTGCGATGTTTGGACCAACAAATGACCGTTTTCCTAATTTTCATGATACAAAACTGTTTCTTATACAATTTCAGCTTCTATCGAATCGTCCAAAAAGCCACGCTTTTAGCGAAGTCAGCAAAGAATTTCTACTTGTTGTGTAATATTTCGACGAACCAACGACTGTCTTCCTATTTCTGACGATGTAAAGCCGATTTCTATACAATTTCACTTTAATCTAACAATTATTTAGACCAACCGTACATCAAATCATGCAAAAAGCCCCAATTTTAGCGACGTTCGACGAAATTTCCGTTCTGCTATTTTCGACGAATAAAAAGCCGTTTCTTGTGCAATCTTGCTTCAGTTTCACAATTTTTAAATCGATTATCTATCTAATAGTCCCACGAGTCATCTAAAAAGATCTTATTAACCAGTTAGCTGTAACCATGAGTTTATAATAAAAACAAAGGGACCAAATACGAAACGGTGAAAACATTTGGAAAATTTCATAATACTAACGGATTATTTTTAGTTCGATAAAATAACCGTGTCTCCATGTAGCTTCTTCGTATCACGATATTAATGGAAACAATTATTATTTCCCGCAGAAATCCGCGATCTAGTTGATAACTTGATCGGGCCGTCGTCTCTGATATCATCGCGATCGGAAACTTCCCCGCCGCGACTGTCCCCGGTTTTCCACGTTTTTCCCTTTTTTCTGTGCCGCGAACGCGTCCGAGGAGAACCGTTGGAATTCCAGCGGAACGATTTCACGTTGGCCTAATCGCGACTGCTCTTTGACGCTAACTTGTGGCGTTCGTTTCGAGCGAAAACAAGACCAGAAGGCGACTAAACGATGTTCCAAGAGCGGTATTTTCTTTTTTTGCATTCTTGTGGGGAAAACATAATTTTGATTTTTGTGATCTTGT